AAAAAAGAATAAAATCCAACCCAGAAACCTCTTGAGCCTTTCTATCAGCCACCCAGCCTGAGGTGACAGAAGCCATTTTGTTTAGGCATGAGGTGCGGGAGGGGAACAGGGCTTATAGTCGAAGTATTTGGACGGGGAACTTGGCCCATAACCTAACAGTCAGAGAGTTTCTTTGTCAAACTGTGGTCCAGTCAGTCCTCAGGAATAAACATTCAAATAGTAATCAGTGCTGGGACATCTCTGCTTCTGTCTGCTCTGTGCTCTGCAAAGCTGGCTTCCTTTTTCGGTTTAGAAATCTAATCTAGTGTAAAGAGATAACACTGCTTCTTGGTGGCCCTTTAAAAAGAAAGGGGGGAAGAAACCACTACTTCCTTGCTTAATCTCCTATATGTATTATGGAAATATACAAAAAGCACATTTAGTTAAAAGCTTGATTTATGGTACGTGGTGAAGAGATCTGGAGAGCGAGGGGGCTGATGAGAGACTAAAAAGAAGTGCTTTTTTTTAAAAGAAAAAAAACCTGCTAGGATTTGGGAATGGCAAACAGTTTATTAGAGAGTTATTAGCATTTCATGTTTATGAATAACTTCTGTGTCTCTATCAATGGAATATTTTCAAATTAGTAGGAAAGGAAATCCCAGACGTGAAGAGGGCTGGCTGGTAGGGAGGATGATGGCTGTGTGCTTGCATGGTGCTGAGGAGGACGGAGGATGCTCGCACACTGGCCATGAGGAGTGTGGGGGGACAGGAGAGGCTGGCGTTGCGGGGAGGGATCGCCTGCGCGCCATAGCACCCACCCCTCAGAACACGTTAGCTGTCGGGTAAGACGCAGTGACGAGAAAGCCAGTCCTAGTTTACAGTCCCAGGGGGATTTTAAAAGCATAGTGAAAATGCATGGCGGTGAAATTAAGATGTCCCCCAGCAGACGGGGCGATCGAGTTATGTCGTTTCTCATACTTCTGGTATTTTCTTACCTTTTTCTCTTTTGTGTTTTTACAAAAGTGTTTTCCAGATTTGTCCATATAATCTGAGTGTCTGCCTTTAATTGGAACAGAATTTCCATAAATAAGCCTTTTTGTAAAGACAATTATTTTTAATAACAAAGTTTGTGAAGGTTTTCCGCTTTAAAAGCCTTCCCGTTAAAACCTGGTTGAAATCCTGTGTGTGGGTTTTGGGGGGGGGAGTGTGTGTGTGTATATGTGAACTTCTGTCCAGGTTTGGGGGTAAAGATTCCTTTAGGGTCATAGGTTAGCAGCAGAGCAGTTAACTTGAGACTGAATATTAAGTTCTTCTGTTCTTAACTCCTAAGCCATGTTTGAGAACCCCTGGGTGGTACAAATGGTTAACACATGTAGCTGTTGACTGAAGGGTTGGTGGTTCAAGTCTTCCCAGAGGCCCCTTGGAAGACAGTCCTGTTACATGCTTCTGAAAACGCAGCCATTGGGAGCCCCTGTGGAGCACAGTTCTCTCCTCTGACGTCCATGGGGCGCCAGGAGTCAGATCGGCTTGCCGGCGCCTGGCTGTGGTCACAGGTGTACCAGCGTCAGGTGATGCCGAGTTGCCAGGAAGTCCAGCCTGGTGGCAGGAGGGACGAAGGACGACTCTTACAGTTTTAAACTCACTTTAGAGAACAGTGTAGTTCACTTGCAATAAGACAGAAGACCCTCTGTTTGCTCCCCTCCCCATGGCAATCCTCAGTCCAGGTTTCATTATCTTAAAAGATCCTGCCGTTTTTCAAGAAAGTCCTTTTTCTGAAGCATAAAGGGACTGCATTCATACATGGTAATAAAGTCAAATGGTCTAGAAAGTTCTGAAATAGGAAATACTACCTCTTTTCTTCCTCACCCCCTGATCTGGCTCTCTCCCTAAAAGTCACTGCTGCTAATTCTCTTACATATCCTTGTAGACTCTTTTTTTTTGTCTTTTTTTCTTTTAAGGTCTGTGTTCTCGTCTGAAGGGCTGCTTTCTGTGTTGTTTTCTGTAAGGTCACTGAGGAAGCAGAGACAAGGCACACATGTTTGGCGAGACCTCTACTTAGTGATCGTTAACTTCACCCAGAACTGTTCCCTCTGATTTTCCAACCCATTTCTGCTCGTCTTCACTGATCCCAGAGCACCATATAGTTGTGGTGGGATTCTGCGAACAGTGCCGGCCTGCTGCTGAGGGTCCACACTGGTGGCGCATAGAAGGAGTCTGGTGTGGAATGAGCCTGACCGTGACTGTGTTGGGGCCATCTCTACTCTGTTGGCTGCGCTCTTGCTCATGCTCTTTAAGCACAAGTTCCCATTGTGATGACTGGTGATTTTTGCCTGTTCACTTGGGCGAAGTTCCCAGAAGACCTTTCGGTTTGAAAACAGCACCTTCTTGTGCCCACAGCTCGTGACCCTGCGGCAGAAGGAGCTAGTGGGGTTAGGATGTGGGGAGGTGTGTTTGCTCAAACCCATCTCTCAGTCTTTTCAATCCCCTTGTCTGTGCTGGGGCTCAGGATGTTTATATGGCCTGTGGAAGCCATGGAAAGCTGCTCTCTGAAAGCCCGTGGCATCATATGTGCCCTGACAGTGAGGCCAGCTCACTACAGTGAGGTGTGAGGTGGGATGCCACATGGAGTTCATGGCGGGGACTTTGAGAGTGGTGTCTGTTTTGCCTCAGGGGATTCCTGTCTGGTCTTTGTTTTTTGGGGAGGGCGTTTCTTCCCACTTGACTTCATACATTTGCCTTGTCTTTTTCTGCTTGCTTTTCCATTTACCCAAGGTAGGTGGTTCAAACCCACCAGCTACTCCTCGGAAGGAAGGTTGGGCAATCTACTTCCACAGTGATAGTGCCTCGGAAACCTAAGGAGGGGTCGCTGTGAGTCAGGTCCGCCTTGATGGCACATAACATCATCAACAACTCCATTTACCCACATGACTCAGCCCTTGGGTGTGAGACCCTCAGCCTCGCAGAGCCTAATCTATCTAGGAGAACCCCCTCCACACACACACACACATACTCAGCTCCAAAATTGGCGAGTCTTCATTTCTTATTTTTTTCCCTTCAGATTACTCACAATGAATAAACTGCTTGTTATAGCTGCATAATAAAATTTAGGAACAGTTTTCTCTGCCAGAGAAAATTCTGCCAGAGACTGCTTAGAAGGCTCAGAAATGTGCTTATGTACATTTAAAAAGATAATAGAAATTCTGGTAAAAATGGCTTGCTTCTTGATTTTAATATTGAAACCAATTTCCTATTCCTAAAATTGCCCTCCCCAATGCATTCTTGGTATTGTATGAGTGTCCTAGGGCTGCTGTAACAAATTGCCACAAAGTGCATCACTTAAAGCAAAGTAAGAATGTTGTCTCACAGTTGTGGGGGTTCCGAGTCTGAAATCAAGGTGTTGCTGGGCCACCCTCTCTGAAGGCTGCAGGGTAAGTCTGCTCCCTGTTTTCCTCGTAGCCTTGGGTGTTGTGGGCGGCCCTTGGTGTCCTTGGCTTATAGATGCAGCCCTCTGTTCTCTCTCTCTCACCATTACATGGTGTTCTCCCTGTGTGTCTCTGTCTCCTTTCCCCTTCTTCTAAGGACATCAGCCATATTAGATTAGGGGACCCTAATGATTTTAACTTGATTACATTTGCAAAGACACTGTTTCCAAATAAAGTCACATTCACAAGTATTGGGGGTTAAGACTTCAACATATCTTTCTAGAGACATAGTTCAGCCCATTACAAGCAACATTTCAGGTTTCCTACCCATGTTAAGGGCAGTCTGGGTTTGCAAAGAAGAGAATCAAAGTTTTCCAAATAAGAGCTATGTAGGGAAGCACAGATCAGATAATTCCTCTGAGAATAGTCCAGGTTCCCCTGGTACAAGTTTGTCCCAACTGAGTTTGTTCATCTGGACTCATTCTTAGCCCCCTTGGTTTAAAAGGTGTTTGTAAGCACAGCTGGGAAGGACTCATGAGCTGGCAGTTGTGCGTGGACAGAACCAAAGGTGGGCTGGTCGGTTGCTTTGATGGGTCATGTAACCTCATGTTCCAACTCTCTTGTTCGTGGCTTCAAACAAGGCATTGTTCTGGAAGCCTACAATTGGACCACGGTTGTGTAGTAATCTCAGAAAGTGGCCTTCAGGTGGGCTCCCATGTGGTTTCCATCCATAGATCCTAGCAAAGGGAAGACGATATATTTAAGAAATAACACTGAACAGAATGGGTTAGGGAGAACGAGTAAATAACTGTGAAGCCCTGCATGCTGGTAGGTGGGACGGGAGCTCTTCCCGGTGACTGAATACAGGTGGTTTCTTTGTCTTAACTCTTTGTTCCACTTCCATCCATTGGTTTTCAAAACCAGAGTTGCCAAGTGATGTCCATGACCTTCCAGCATGGGCATCCACACGTTCTCCGAAGGGCTGGGGAGAAGCAGCAAGAGTTGTGATTTTAGGTTGGAAGCGTTTGACCTCGTTAATCAGAGGATGGCTCCCAGTGTTGGGTCTCGAGTTGCCATGAATAAAAGGATTTGGGGAGAAACCAAATCAGCCAGTGCTTGTCTTTGACGTGCAAATCCTAGATTTTGAGCCAATCTGCTTTTATTTGAGAAAACAAACGGAACGTTAGAGAGCTGATTTTCTGAAAGCTTTCATCACGTGGCATTGATCTGTGATCTGAGTAGCTCTAAGGGCTGATTGATTATCTGCAATAATGAAGCCAGTGAGGTCTGTCCTCATATCCTCACATGACAGTCTTGAGGCATTAGGACAGGAAGAAGACTGCCATTTTGATCAAGAACTGTATAAAAATTTGTGTGAAAATCTGACCTTAAGACCACATAATTTGAATGGAATCCACCACTGTGTAGGAGGGAGGACCGAGGCATTGGAATACAGTGGTTTTCATTTTGGCCCAAGTTTGTGGCTTTGACCGGCCCCCACCCTTCCTCATCCTTGATACGCTGGCTGGGCTCCGGTGGCTTTCCGGCCTTCACAGGCAGAGCTGGGATTACATCTGTGTCTTTGCGTTTTGTATCCAGGTTTCTGCCGAATCCAGCTCCTCCATGAACTCCAACACCCCACTGGTAAGGATAACAACACGCCTCTCCTCTACGGCGGACACCCCCATGTTGGCAGGGGTCTCCGAATATGAATTGCCAGAGGATCCAAAATGGGAGTTTCCAAGAGACAAGTGAGTCCTTCTATTGGGAACAGCTCCAAATGGCGGCTTAGATATAAATGGGTCTATTGGATCAGCATTTTCATTTCATGACCTTTAACTGCAAAGGTCTTTCTAGGACATTATCAACAGGGGTGAGTGAGATTGGGTTTCTAAATAACGAGCTCTCAGAAAATGGAAGAATTGATTCTTCTTTTTGTTTTGATAACTTTCTTAAAGAGCACTGCCAAGCCATGGCTAGTCTCCAAAGAGGATGGTATCTGGTTAAGCGTTTTTGTAGTTTCTAGACCATTCAAACCCAGTCAGATGGAATAAACTTGGGGTTATCCCATTTGTAAAACAGACCTGACAATCCACCTCCTGGTAACCAGAACATGACTGTCGTGTGGTTGATTTCTGTGGGGAAATTAGGTGCAGACTATATATTGCCCAATGGAACACACCCCCCAGTGTTAACTATTTTCAAAGATTATCATGTACTGTCAAGCTGTGAAGCTTCACATTGGCACCCAACACCTCGTGTCCGGTGGTCCACAATATTTTCCTTGTTGAATGATACACCTACCTACTGCCATCGGGTCAATTCTGACTCATAGTGACCCTACAGGACAGAGTAGAACTGCCCCATAGGGTGGCTAAGGCTGTAAATATATACAGAACCAGACTGCTTCATCTTTTTCTTCTTGCAGAGTGTCTGGTGGGTTTGAACCACCAACCTTTTGGTTAGCAGTCCAGTGTTTTAACCACAGCACCGCTAGAGCTCGTTATTGAATGATACAGAGGTGTTGATATCAGCGTGACCACTGAGCTCTGCTGGATGTGGTGGTGTGAGCCTCTGGGTCTCTTGATTGGGCTTAACGCCTGTGTGCTTTGGGCTCAGGCTGATTCAAATCCTGGCTTTGCTACCTAGTGGCCAGGCAGCCTCAGTTGAGTCACCCAATTCTTGGTCTTCAGTCCTGTAAATTCAAGGTCATGGCACAGACTTCTCAGGACCCAGCACACTTCTTGACTCCTATGTGTTTCTGTTTCCCTTCACGTCATGCGCTGGTCACCTGGGAGCTCTGGACTGCAGGTCCCAGGAGGATGGATGTGCTGACCACATAGGCTGTGAGGAGATGATGGCTCCGAGCCCGCCATCCTCTAGGCAGGGGACACTCCCAGATCCACCTCCCAAGATGAAGAAGGGGCAGTCGTTGAAGGGCTCTACTCTCACTTCAGGGGTACTTCATATAACAGTTAGAGTCTGAATATCTTACAGTAAAGGGGTGTGGAAGTGCTGTACCATATAAACTAGGATAAACTCTTGACTTTCTTGTATACAAATCAATGCCTTGACATTTGCAGTGTTGCTTGGAGTTATGCCAGAGAAACATGCAGTTAACTCTAGAAGGAGCTCATGGACAAGTTTGGGGATCAAAGATAAGCTTTCCCAGGTGTGGATAGGGCTAGCTCTATTTGCAGGGAGAGGTAGCTTATGCGATCCTTACAATTTTGCTTCACACAACACCACACCTGTGCATACCACATTGTATACGTCACACCTGTACATACCGCTCCTGCACACACCACCCCGGTATTATTTCCCAGTAGCCAGTTAGAGGTATGGATGTACACTGTTTTGGTTTCCTAGTGCCACTCTGACAAGAATATACCACAAATGAACTGGCTTGAACAAACAGGTGTTTATTCTCTTACAGTTTTGGAGGCTAGAAGTCCGAGGTCATGGTGCCAGGCTCTAGGGCTGGGTGAAAGGCCCTTGACCTTGGGCTTCAGCTCTGCCTCTTGCTCCCGGCCCACTGAAGCTAGAGGCGTCTCTTCACTCAGGCAGCTGCTGGCTGCTAGGCTGACAAACCCAAGGTTGACAAGTGAAAAGGCACAGTCCCAATATTACCAAACCACATGGTAGGCCATTGATTGAAGTTCATTAAAAGTCCCAAGATTGGCAGAGCATGGCAGGCTGCTGAGTGAAAACTCAGCTACGTGCAGGGTTCAGCTTGAGACCTTCCTCATAGTTGCTTCTTGTGTACTGGACACTGCCCACTGCCCTAAGGCAGCTACTCAGCTGCTCCAGTAGATCCCACCATGGAGTTAATGACCAACCTCACCACGGGGAATAACTACATCCAGCTGCCCAGCCACTCAACCAGGCCCAGCCAAGTTGACCTACAACCTTAACTATCACATACACCATCAGCTAGAACTGAGTAATTGTCCAGGTCTCCTTCAGTTTAAAACTTTAGTTGGAGTAATTTCCAGTTTATTTGTGTGTAGTAGTGGAAAGACTGTCTGTCTATCCATCCCTCCATCCATCCATCCACCCAAGACACATTTATTGGGCACTTGCTGGTGAAGCCTCGGAGCAAAAACAAAGAATTATGTCTTCACCCATAGAATGTGGAGTGGGAAAGGAGTGTTTCTCATGAACCTCCCAGCTCCCTGGTTTGTGGGTAATTATACAAGCAGGTCCGTGAGTGCATACATTCCTGTGTGTATATGGCTAAACTGGGGAGTGTTCCCATCCCCAGGTCCAGCATGTAGCTTTTGCCACCTGTGACACCTCAGTCAACAGTGGGCGTCTGTGTGTGCCGAGCCATTAGCTCCCACCCGAGGGGTACCCTGAGTGTGGAAAATCTGAGTGCTAAACATTTCAAAACAGTGTTTAGCACAAATGTAGGTGGAGCAGGTTTCCAATGAATGAAGCCTATTTAGAAACAGTTTATGAGATTGGGGGCAAAAGTTACACAAAGAAAGGATTGTTATACCTGTACAGTGGGGCAGTGGGACATAAATTAACCATTTTTCCAATGCAAATGTTTATTTTCTGCCAAGATGTTAAATTTAATTTTAGTCCTGGATGGAAACAGAATGACCTCAGCATAACATACACTGCCCTCAGTCTTAGGTTGAACTTTTTCAGACCCATGTGTACTTACCGTAAATACTGTTTACTGCCGGTAACGCAGTACTGGCCTGTGTTATGCTTAAGTTACAAAACCACATTCATGACTCTTCCAAAGACTTCTCCATTCTGTTGGTGTTCTGGAATGCCATAGGATAATATATGGCGATTAGTATGATGTGCATGTAATTTCTGAGCTTGGAAATTTAAGTTGTTTGTGGGGTTTGGTTTGGGTTTTTCTTCATTATTAATTTTGGGTTCTCAGGAATTTTGAACCATTATTTCCCAAAAATATTATCTCCTATTTTCCAGCATTTTGTTTTTCCTTTAGTGAAAAGTTAAGAGTTTCCTGGAAACTGAGTTTAAGATTCCTATCATGTCACCTGGCAAGGAATGTGACCATACAATCCACCGGTATTTGAATAGCAATTTTAAAGCCACCAATTCACAGGGACATGAAACACAAATTGCTTCAACTTTTTCTCTTTTGCTTCTTTAATTTAATTCTAATTATTAATTCTAATAATTTAATTCTAAATTATACATATTTCCTTGGCCCAAGATCAAAACCTCATTGTTGGCATTTGGGAACGCTGATCACCTCCCTAGCAAGGATGCCTTCCATAAAGAAAATAAACCAAGAATACCTCTGAAATTTTATAGCTTTTCCTCCAGTCATTGACAGTCCCTAAAACGTCACTAAGAAAATACTCACATGCGTGTATACCCAGATCTCATTAGTTCCATATGATACATGGTCCATGCTTCAGCAAGCTGCTGAAAGATTTTTATATTTCATTCTGGAATTTTGTTCCCAACACCCTGCCACCAGATGCCATGTGCTAACCCCCTCTCTACACGTTTAGGCTGACGCTGGGGAAACCTCTGGGGGAAGGCTGTTTTGGGCAAGTGGTCATGGCCGAAGCAGTGGGAATTGACAAGGAGAAGCCCAAGGAAGCGGTCACCGTGGCTGTGAAGATGTTGAAAGGTAAGTGGGGGTGGGGAGAGGGTGGAATATCTTATCGAGAATGTTCCTCCCTGGCTTCTGAACTCTATCATGGCAGGGGGTCAGAGGGCACATAGTTGACCTCAAGGTTGAAAAGTTTTCAGAATAAATCAGCTTCTTGGACAGACTATTCATCTTGAGCTGTATGTACTTAAAACAAAAGAAAAGCCAGTTTTGTTAGAAAGGGGTGGCCCCTTACCCTGTGTTATACTTTGACTCCTTGGAGATGACTGGGATTCTTCATGCCCTCCATGTTTTTAGGAGTTTACAGAGTGTTAACTCACGTAGAATTGGTTAGTGTAGATGGGGATTGGCATGTTGCAGTTACTTAATTCTCTAAGTTGGAAAATTGGCAGTTTTGGAAGAAACAGGGAAGCTTGCAGTCTTAGAAGATAGACAACGGGAACACACCTTAGAACCAAGGACAGTGAGACTTCCTCCCACTTCCTTTGGTCGTCAGGAAGGACCAATCACTCGAAAAGGACACCACATTTGCTGGAGTGGAGGGTGAACCTTCAGTGAGATGGACTGTCACAATAACAACAGTGGACTAAACCATATCAAAGATGTGGAGGTGGCACAGGACCAGACAGTGTTTTGGTCTCTTATATAAGGTCACCATGAATCGTAGGCGAGTCCGCATAACAACACAAGATCAGGGAGGCTTAGGAGAGTGGAGGCCGTGGCTTCTCTTTTCTGGGAGAAACACAGCAGGTTTGACCCTGGTTGGGAGAGTCACGGAGAGTGCGGAAAAGGAAGTAACAGGATCGGTGCTGGTGTGGAACCTTCTAGAACATGTAAACAATTTCCTGAGAGGTAAACGTGGAGTTGCTTCTGTGAATCTGAATCCTGCTTCATCCCCACATCTGAGGAACTTAAAGAACTTTTAACCATTAACTTATAACTCCCACAGTGTTCTTTTATGAGAGGAATTATAGGGAACGGTCACATTATAAATCCTGTAGTAGGGACCTCGGGAAGGGAGATCTCAGCCCTAAGTCGAGTTTTCCCACATCCCCAGGAGCAAGGTCTGTCTGGGAGGTGGGGTGCCTCACACGTTGTAAGGACTCTTTTCCTCTCCTTCATCGATTCTCCTGGGGTGGTCACCACATCTCTCCGGAAGGGTTTATAACAGCCCGGAATAGTCAAGAAGTTGATTTTGCAGCTGCCGAGCCATAGTGGCTCCCAAAGAAAAGTCCAGTGCCTTGAGGTGGCCCCCACCTTGGGGTTTGATGTTGTGGGGAGCACCATGCCCTCTTGCCCAGGTTTCTGGGCACCACTGGTAGAGGCAGCCCTCCGCTCCCACCGTGCGTGACCCGGCCTCCCTTTCCTCCTCTTGTCTTCCTGTGTGACAGGCGTGGTATGGGCTGTGCCCCCAGCTCTGCTGTGCAGCGTCAGCTGCCCTGGCCACGTGCCAGGGGTGGGTGCGGGGAGACCCAGCCTTGGCTTCCCTCTGAGCAGAACTTTCGAGTTTTGTTTAGGGGACTCAGAGTTACCTCGATACATTGCAGAAAGGGAGGTCTGGGAGTTCTGTCTGTCTTGGGATGCCAAAGCTGGCCTTTCCCTGTAGGACATAGAAAGGCAGCCCCAGGGCCGTGTGGCGTGTCCTTTTTTACAGCCGGTGGACGGCTGAGCACCTCAAGAAGGAGAACACGCTGAGAGGTGTGTACAGGCCATCCTCCCTCTGCGTGGCCGGAGGCTCTTCCCCTAGGTCTATCCATGTATGTTTTGTGAAACTAAAAATGTCTTTTTTTTTAAACATGGTTCCTGTTTGTTTCCCTATTTAATTTTTTTCATAAAAACCAAAAAACCAAACTCATTGCCGTCAAGTCAGACCCGATTCATAACAACCCCTCCTTGGGTTTCCAAGGCGGTATCACTATGGAAGTAGATTGCCCAGTCTTCCTTCCAAGGAGTGGTAGGTTTGAACCGCCAGCCTTCTGGTCAGCAGTCAGATGCCTTAGGCACTCTGCCACCAGAGCTCCTTTTCTTTAGTAACCCTAAGTATTTTCCATATTGAATTGGCTTGAAGAGGGTACATGGGGAAGAGTCTTGCCTTATTAAATGCTGACTATGAGCCCATGATGTTGGACCTAAGCCATCAGTGCTGGAAGGTAAAGCAGATATTTGTACAACTTTTCTTAGGATGAAAATCACAGCCCCTTTGAGAAGCCAGTAGAAGCCACGGACCTCTGTCCCCGCCCAGTGCACGTGTGGTTTTACACGTGGTCCCAGGCGTGCCCCTGAGCCCATCTGTGGGCACGTACAGGGCCGCAAGGGCTTGGGGCAAGTCCTCTTGGTCTGCAGAACTGGGTCATGGTTTGCAATGCTCCCATGGTGGCCCCCTCTCTTGGTGTCCTCAGAGCACCTTAGATATGCAGGGGACAGGTCTGTTGCATCACACAGGAGAGCACTGTCCCCTTTGTGAGATTTGCTGGAAAAGAACTGGCCTTAGCCTAAGAGGGCTGGACCCCAAATTAGCTGTTTGACATGGTATGGCTCTGTCTCCTGTTGGACTGATAATGGGGGAGATGGGGCCTAGGATTAGGAAACGCTTTTTTCATTCTAAACTTCAGTTTTACACTGTTCCAACCAAGTTGCCAGTAGCTAGTAGTGATGGCAGGAGGAGCCCTGCTGCCACAGTGGGTCAGTGCTCAGCTGTTAACCTAAGGTTGGCGGTTTGAACCTGCCCTCTGTTCAGCGGAGAAAGATAAGGCAGTCTGCTTCTGTAAGGCCTTGGAAACCCTCTGGGGCACTTCCCCTTTGTCCTCTAGAGGCATAGTGAGTTGGAATTGACTCGACAGCAGTGCATTTCGTTTGGGCTTCACTTCTGTAAAGATTAAACTGAAAAGGCCCCAACCCATTGCTATTAAGTCAATTTCAACTCATAGTGACCCCCATTGGGTTTCCAAGGCTGTAAATCATTAAGGAAGTACATTGCCTCATCTTCCTCCCATAGAGCAGCTGGTAGGTTTGAACCACTGACCTTCTGATTAGCAGCCTTTCCCACTGTGTCACAGAGCTCCTTTTTCCCCTGTAAAGATTACAGACTTGGAAACCCTATGGGGCAGTTCTGCTCTGTCCCATAGGGTTGCTGTGAGGCAGGAGCAACTTGACAGCAGCAAGTTTAGTTTGTTTTTGTGGGTTTTTTGGTGATGACAGGGAGTCAGTGGTGGTTTAGTGGTACCATTGCTGCCTTCTGCATGGGTTCTGTTGCTGGCCACTGGGCCTCCCGTAGCGAGCACTGGTCCTTCACTGGAGGCTTGCCTGTTGCTAGTACGCTAGCCGGCTTTCAGTGGGGCTTCCAGACTGAGACCTGGAGGAAAGGAGGCAGAGTACTTTCAAAGCCAGGAGGAAGCCCGTGGCTCAGCGTGGTGGTCCAGGCCTGCTGTGCTGGGGGTCCTAGTGAGTCAAGGGCCGACTCCACAGCAGCTAACAGCGATGGCGGATAAGCTTGAGGGAGCAGACTGATTTGTATCGTACTTAATGTTTGTAGATGACGCCACAGAAAAAGACCTTTCTGATCTCGTGTCAGAGATGGAGATGATGAAGATGATTGGAAAGCACAAAAATATCATTAATCTTCTTGGAGCCTGTACACAGGATGGTGAGTAGGAGGGGAAGGCACTTTGATGCAAATACCCCGGTTCAATGTTAGCGTCCGTGGAGGAACCGTTGGGCTTTTGGAACCTGTGCTCGGCGTGCCTCAAATGCGTGCTTGCAGTTCCTTTTAAGACCCCCTGGGGAAGCGGTTTCCAGCCAGGAGCACAGAGACGGCTGTGTGGGGGTGGTAGAGCCGCCTAGGTCAGAACCTCAAATGTGATTGGAAACGGCAGGCCCCGACCTGCCCTTTCGTTTTATAAGCCCTGTGGGAGAGTCTCCTGTGTTTTGGTTGAAGGGGTCTTTCTTCCACATGGAGGTAGAGGAATCCACATGGTGCTATAAGCAAATAGTGTTGCCTCCAGGAATAGAAGAGAGAAAAAGAGGAGACAGTGATAAGGAGCTTACCGCCTTCCACAGGACAGAGAGCCCCAGCTTCTCCACTGCAGCACTTCCTGGCACTTTGAGAAACAATTTGAAAGGTCATTAATAAACTTGACAATGCCTGGCTCTGACTTAGTGGCTTCTCTATTTAGGCCTTTATCAGGGGTCAGCAAACTTTGTATGTAAAGGACCAGGTGGTAAATATTTTAGGTTTTGCAGGGTTAGACGGTCTTTGTCACAATTACTCATCTCTGTTGATAGAGTGAGAAAACAGCCATAGATGACCTGTAAGTGAATGAGCCTGGCTGTATTCCAGTAAAATTTATTTACAAAAATAGGCAGTGGGCTGGATTTGCTAACTTCTTGTCTGTACCATGAAGAAATTATTGCACATGTGTGTAAGGAAATGTATACTGGGATGTTCACTGCGTATGGTTGGCTGTAGGTCTGAACTGGAAGCATTGTAAGTGCCTATGAGTGGATCGATAAAGTGTGGTGTCGTAACTGTGTTTTTCCCCAAATAACACACCACATGAGTAACACACACATGCATGCATTGCGCTCAGCTCACATAGGAAGTGCATGCACTGGGGATGGCGCAGTTTGCAAAACCAAACCCAACCATATGTCACGTGCGCTGTTGACGTAAGGATATGATACATGGTAGGACGATCTATTTTATCAACCTAACTGGGTTCCACAAGGGTACTAGGTGGGGAAGGACCGTTACAGAGCTGTGCTTTTATTATTCATTTCTGTGATTGAAAAGAACACATGTATGTTTGTAAAGATATTTACAGTGAACTGAAAAGATACACTGGTGGGATCGAATCAGTGATGGTGGTGGCTTTAGAGGAGTGGGGCCCTGGTGAGAGAATGGTATGACAGTGAGAGAACATGCCAACTGCTTCTTGGCTTTGTTTTTTAAAGACTTTTGAGGCTGTCATGATGAAGGGTTGATTACCGTGTGGGGAGATTGGAACGCAGGTGTTCCACATGTGTGTCCTTTTCTACACGTTAAGTGTTGTTTAGAAGAAACAAACCACAAGAGAAGGATTGGTTTGTGATAACTCGGGCTCACTTGCTGAGCTGCCACTGGGCAAACCCTGAGTCCCCAGCCTCAGGGCGCTGTCTCCTCCCTCCACAGGGCCCCTCTATGTCATAGTGGAATACGCCTCCAAGGGCAACCTCCGAGAGTACCTGCGAGCCCGCAGGCCTCCCGGGATGGAGTACTCCTATGACATCAACCGTGTTCCCGAGGAGCAGATGACCTTCAAGGACTTGGTGTCGTGCACGTACCAGCTGGCCAGAGGCATGGAATACTTGGCTTCCCAAAAAGTGAGTCCTTCCCGTTTGGCTTGGTCAGGTGCGATCCAGCTCACAGCGTCTTGGGAGAGCATGGGCAACGTGTAGGTGCTTATTGGCTAAATCAAGCCCTTGCGTGCCTTGTACAACCTGGAAAATAGTTGTTGCGTTCGTCACGTTAGGGTTCAGTGAACTCTTTGAAAGGCAGACAACCTCGTAAACCTACAGCCACACTGCAGAGTGAGCAGAAGAGACTCTTCCTTGAGAACAGGGCTGGGTGTGGCCTTCCTAGACTCACTCTCCAGAGGTGCAGAGCAGCTGGGTTAGGTGGCGTGTCTTCTACCTCCCGTGGTTTTTGCCCATATTTGTGCTATGATGAGTGTTTCTGGATGTAGACTTTGGGTCTCACGGTTAAGGTTTTGAGTTTGAAATGGCATTCACTCCTCTAAGAACGACATGAAGGAGAGTTGCAGAGCACTGGGGAAAATTTGCTTCCTTCGGTGGGTGACCCTCCGTGCTGAGGAGCTGGCCAGGCCCTCCGAGGTGATCGCATGCATTCCTAGCATTCCTCCCATGGAACGTTAACACGGGAGGCATTCTGAAAGCAGTTACACAGGTGCCTCTGTCCTCCGGCCACTTAGGACCAAACACAGCCTTGCTCGGCCCGTTCTGGGAGAGGGAGGAGGCAAGGTCAGCTCATACCTGGATGCCTTGGCAGGAATTCCTTAGGACCCCAAAGCAGTGAGAGCCCTGGGAGGTTGTGGCTCCTCCCCACTGGGGGCCTGGGACAGGGTTACAGACTCAGGACCCATTGGGGCCCTGGCAGGAGTGAGGCAGCCCCACCAGATCCTGCAGACTAGAGGGATTTGCATGCAGCCCACTATCCATGGCCTCGTGGAAAGAGGGCCCGGAGTCACCACGGTCTCCATTCTGTTTTTTTTTCAAGAGAGTCCGGAGTTTAAGACCTTTTCCTGTGTAAACTTACAGTGGAAAGTTATTCAGCTGTAAAGAGAAGTGAAGTTCAGATCTGTGCTATGGTGTGGATGAACCTTGAGAACACGCTGCTGAGGGAAGGAAGCCAGACACAATGGGACAAACAGCGTGTGATCCCATTTTGATGAAAGATCTAGAGTAGACCAATGCATCCAGACAAGGTTTACTCTAGTGATCATGGGACAGGAGGGAGGAGGAGTGCGAGTTACCACCTCAGGGGCACTGAGTATCTGTTTGGGAAGATGAAAAATTTCTAGAAATGGGTAGTGGTGGTTGGTAAAGAAAAGACTTTCTCAGATTTTTTTTTTCCTGTAACATCTCCTACTTTATATATTCTAGAAGTGAGTTAAGTTCTGTGTTTGTGTGTGTATGTGTGTGTGGGGGGGGGTTTGCCAATCAAAAAGCCTTTGACACAAGGAAACAATTAGATCCCTAATGTGAGACCCTCCGCAAGACGTCGCTTCAAAACGTTAGAGTCACAAACAACAAAGCAGATTGGAGAGACTGTTCCAGATTGAAGGGGACAAAAGTGTACTCATGGATGAGTCGAACGTGTGACCCTGGACAGGCTCCTGGATGGAGCTGGATGATGAGGGGCAGCTCTTATCAACATTCTTGGACAACTGCAGTTTGATTATGTGTGCTAGATAATGCTCCTATTTCAGTGTTCCATCTGGGGGATGGTGGTGGGATGGAGTTATGGTGAGGAACATGTGCTGAAGCGTTGGGTTATCATCTGTGATGCTTGTGGCCCACTTTCAAAGGCCCCTCTGGGTGGACTTGAACCTGTAACCTTTAGGTTAGCAGCTGAGCCCGTTAACAGTTGTACCACTCAGGACTCTGCTGTTAATACCAAGATGGTGGGAGGATTGGCCTGGTCATTTTTCATTCATTCCACAGATACTTCTGAGGCACTTTTGCTGTCTTATGTTCTCGCTTGGGCAGTCCTATGAGGCAGACAAATGTACACGTAGTCCTTGACCTCTTGGGGCAGGAACCACGGGATGACGGTGGGAGAAGTTGATCATAAATGTAGGAATAAGAAGCCAATGTGTATTTGGACACAGATAATGGTGATAGTTGCACTCCATGGTAAATGTAGTTAATGTCACTGAAATGTACATGTAAGAGTGACTGAATGGCAAGCGTTAGGTGTATTTTATACCACAATAAGAGAAAAGGCTTGGGAATAGAGAGGTGCAGGGAGGAAACCAGTGGGGCACTCAGGTGGTCAGGGAAGTGGAGAGAGGAGGGCGTGAGCTGGAGCTGGAGGCCAGGCCGAGAGCTGCTTCCTTAGTGCCTTCCAGACCCAGGCAGGGAGTGTGGCTGTTGCTCTTGGTACGTGAGAAGCCACTGGGGATGAGAGACATGGTGAGTGTTGTACTCTCAGAGATCCCATCTTGTTGTTGCTTCTACAACAGATTGAAAGCCAGTGGGTCTGTGGGAAGGAGGGTGGGGTCAGGCCCAGAATTACTGTGCAGAGCACACAGAAGAGCCGATGGATCTGGGATGTAGGTTTATATCAGCACAGGCAGTACATTGATTAGCGGTACGGAAGAGAGGTCAAGGGCCACTCCTGGATGTCCAGCCTGAGAAACTAGATGGTGGTATAGTGTCCCAAGACCAGGACGATGGGGGAGAAACAGGCTTTGGTGGAAAATCAAGAGCTCATGTTGATGTGTCTTCGTAGGGACTTTCAAGATGGGATGTCAACCAGGGAGTTGGAGCTGCAGGCTGAAGCTCAGCCCTGAGGTCTCTGCGGAGATAGTTACCAGCTAGTGACCCACCCACTGCCATGGAGTCGATTCCGACTCACAGCGCCCCTGGAGGACAGTAGAATGCCCCTGAGGGTTTCCAAGGCTGTGAATCTTTATGGAAGCAGACTGCCTTATCCTTCTCCCGCAGAGCGGCTGGCGGATTCAAACCGCTGACCTTTTGGTTAGGAGCTGGATGCTTTAACCACTACGCCCCCAGAACCTCTTGGAGCCAGCAAAGGGGTGGGGGGTGGTAATTTAAAGTTACGGGAGTGGACGAGCCTTCTAGGCGGAGACTAAGAAGAAGGAGGATGGAAGTCTGGAGTCAAAGCCTAGGATCCTTTAGAGTCCAGAGATTGGCTGGAAGTACAGGAAACAGCAGCAGAGGCTGAGAAGGCCCTGGCCCAGAGGGCTGGGGAACGCAGGACGTGGGTCCCAGAGGCCGAGTGAGTGTGCCATTCTGTCTGGAGGAGGACAGAGCAGTGTGCACCAGACGTGGCCCTCAGAGGCCAGGGGTGGTCTCACCATCCTCCGCCAGCCCTGGGCGCTCCGATCCTTCCTGCTCTGTCGCCAGCTTGGTCCAGTGAAAGAACCGAGAGTCCAACAGCCTCTGACATGAGGCAGGTGTCGTTGTACAGTGGATACACCCTTAGTGGTGGTGGTTGTTGTTGTTGTTATTTGCCATAGAGTCAGCCCCGACTCGTAGCGACCCCTCCTTGGGTTTCCGAGGCAGTTGTCACTACGGAAGTAGGATTGCCCAATCTTCCTTCCGAGGAGTGGCTGGTGGGATTGAACCGCCAGCCGTCTGGTTAGCAGGCAAGTGTCTTAGCCACTATGCTACCAGAGCTCCCCCCTTAGTGGTAGTGTTTCGATAACAGTGATGATCACTGTTTTTAATCACTCCCCATTTCCAGGACCAGCACGGGTGGCCAGATTCTCCATTCCGTGGCTTAGACACCCCTCAGAACAACGCTGAAATAGGTGTGCCTGGTATCCCTGTTTTCTGGGCGAGGACGCTGAGGACTGTGGGAAAGTGACAAGAAAGATTTAAGCCCAGCTGTGTCTGAATCAATTACTGCCTTCATTTCTGAGGTGGAGACACACACAGGTTTACAGAGTGAAGGGGCTGGTCCTCGACCCAGGCCTCCTGGGTTCACTATCAAAGTGTCCCCCCCTCTCCTGCCCTCAGGTTTCTCTGTAGGTCCGTAGGGGAGACAGATAAGTGAAGAAGCACTGTGATGTACACAGAACACAGTTAGGTGATGGTGTAGGTGAGCCTCACATGTATTTGTGAAAGCTTTGCTAATGTTAGACCAAAACGGCACTAAGTTTCTTTTTTTCCCTAAATTTTCTTTTATTTGTTGTTGTTGTTGTTCAGAACATACACACCAAAACATACACAGGTTCAGCGGCTTCTGCACGTCCATTTCAGTGACATTGGTGACCTTTGAGTTGGGCAGCCACCATCACCCTCCTCGGAGTTGTTCCTCCCTCGTAAACCTAACCTCACTGCCCCCAAAGTTCCTGTTGAATCTTTCCCGTTATTGCTGTCCATTTGATCCCATAGAGATAGCTCTTCAAAGAGCATCATGCCCAAACCAGACTTTTTTCTCACTGTTGTTGTTGTTGTTGTTGTTATGTGCCCTCGAGTTGGACCCGACTCATAGCGACCCCTCCTTGGGTTTCCGAGGCAGTATCACTACGGAAGTAGATTGCCCCATCTTGCTTCCGAGGAGTGGCTGGTGGGTTTGAACCGCCAGCCTTCTGGTTAGCAGTCAAGCGCCTTAGGCACTATGCTACCAGAGCTCCCTTTTTTCTCACTAGTGAAGCTAAATTACTGTGCAATTTTAAGACTTCAGGGGATATTTTTGGTTTAAGGTTTAAAGATTATCTCAGGGCACTAGTTTTCAGGAATTCATTCACCTTCCCTGGCTACAAAAAGTCTAGAATCCATGAGAATATGAAATTTTGTTCTATATTTTCCCCCTTTTGATCAGGATTCTTGTAAGGAATCTTTGATCAAGTGTTCAGCAACTGGTATCCTGGTACCATCCAGTTCTTCTGGTCTCATGGCAAAGGAGGCATTTAATCACATTTTCCATATCCTGCTCCATGTCCTCCTGACTCTTTTCCCTCTGTTGCTCCAGGTGAGTGGAGGCCAATGGTTGTGCCTTAGACGGCTGCTTGCCAGCTTTTAAGACCCCAGGCATTATGCAGTGAACTAGGAGGTAGAGCTGAAGCACTAGACACATTACTAGCCAGTGAACTGGGATGTCCTGTGAATCC